TTCCCTCCTTCCCCCTTCCTTCCTTCTCTCCTGTATTACATGTCATATGTTTTCACCTCACTTAACGTTTATATGGGCAGTTCAGCGAAGCGGTTGAGAGAACGGACACTAGAGCCCCAGTACCTGGGATGCATTCTTGATTCTTCTGTTCAATAGTCACACAACTTGGGGCACATACTGTCTGTGCTTCATCTTTTTCATCTGTAAAATGTGAATAATAGTAATTCCTCCTTTCCAGAGTTGTTAAGGGGACTTCATGGGATAAGGCACATGAACTTCTAAGCATGCTTTTCTTACCCGCCTAAACAACCCCAGTGCTGCTGTTGGTTCTGATAGAGGGTAGGTGAGCGTTCCTGGCCGTGCTTCTAGAACGGTTGGCCTTTCCCTCTGAGCTCCGTTACAGGGTAAGGGTGAGGCAAAGGGCCTGGCTTTGTACATTTCGTCTTTGAGACTCTGAGTGTGTTCCAGAACTCTGTTAGAGGTTGTGTTTGAGAGTTTAGTCTGCTAGGTCAAAGATAGTCCCTGTTCCTTCAGGATGCCTAGGTTAGGCGTGATCTCCAGCGGGCATCCAGCTTCGAGCCCTGGAGCGTGAGGATCCAGGTGGTGACCCCTGCTCCTGCCTGAATTCTGGAACCTGGGTGGTCAGCCTGTGTGTCTTCTCAGAGCTTTCCTGTCACTGTCCCCGATCACTTACTCACCCTTCAGTTTATATTGTCCACACTAATCTTAAGGGTTTTATGGGCTTATTCCTACCCCACTTCACCCCCCTGCCGCAGTGGCAGCGAGAGTAGGGACAGCATCCTTCTCTGCGGCCCCAGAATCTTCTGTCCCTCACCACAGTCGCCACTTTACAAAGTGCGTAGACTGAAATTATGCTTCTTTCCCCATGGGCTTGTTTTCTGCTGTTGATAATTGTCCTGGCTTTTCCTTCTCACCTCTTGTTGGGAAAGCACAATTCTCTGATCGAATTTTATTCTGCTGTCTTTGTCCCGAAGTCTTGTGGTGAGCTTTGGGGAAAAAAAAGAAAGATAGGGAAAAAAAAAAACAAACAAACATTCCTGGACCCAACCCTGGACCTTCCATTTCAGAGGGCCTGGAACTGGGCCCAGTTATCTCCTTTTTTTAAAAAGCTTCCCTGTGGCTCTTTCGGATCAACCAAGTTTAAACCCAGTATCCTTATGAGAGGATTATGTTTTTTTCTTACCTTTTCCTTAGCCTGTCTGAAGAGCAAGTGTAATACATAAAACACTTAAAATTTCTCAGAAAGATCCCATAAATTTAAAGCTGCTCTTTGTGGTTTATTTCCTTGCTTGTTTTTTAGGTGATCTCCTACAAAATAAGGCGAGAAAACCCATCTCCAAAGAATGGAAATGAAAGTTGATCCTTCTGTCTAGCGGTCCCTGGGAAAAAAATTCTGGTTTTCCCTTCCATACCTCTTAAGCTTTTAGTTTTCTGTTGGCATTTATAGAGTGAATTACTCACTGGTGCTTTTAAGAAGCATTTTGAATGCTGTATATGCTAACATGGTCGAAGTGAGACTCATTCATCCGGACGTGACAGTCTCCACAGGTTGTCACCCACAACAGACTTCCCCCTGTTGTCTTTAATCCTGTTTCGGTTTCGACTGGCGAGAAAACTAAAAAGAATGCTGGTTTTACCTGTCTCTAGTCAAGCTATGTTTCTTTCAACTAGATATAAAATTTAAATTATTTTTATGAAGGCTTAGGACTGGAAGCTAAAAAGAAAATGTGGATGTATTAAATTTTTAATTAATTTTTTTTTTTAACGTGAAGTGAGTTTTTGCTTGTTTGTTTTATTTAAGTAGTCTCTACACCCTACCTGGGGCTCGAACTCTTGACCCCAAGATCAAGAGTCTCACGCGCTTCTGACTGAGCTGGCTAGGAGATTGAGCCCCACGTCAGGCTCCTCGCAGGGCGTGGAGCTTGCTTAAGATTCTCTCTCCCACTCCCTCTGACCCCGCCCTCCCACTCCTCTTCCTCTCTGCCAAAAAAAAAAAAAAACCCAACCAAATTAAAAAAAAAAAAAACCACATGCAGCCACTAGGCTTTTTAATACTCCAACTTCCCATATATTCTACTCTACGTCTATGTGGAAAAGAACCTCTTGGTTATATAGTCATCTGCTTTCCATGTGTTCCCCTTTCCATCCCGGCCACCTGTTAAGTAGGATGGACTGTTTTTACTAAATCTGCCTTTAAAGGAGTGACTGTGGTAAACCATCTCAGCCGTACTGTGCTTTCAACAAGGAAGATTTCTCTCCTTTGCATTATTTGTGTCTTTAAGCCACATTACTAATTAATTAATTAATTTATTTATTTCAAAGATTTTATTTTTAAGTAATCTCTATACCCAGTGTGGGGCTCAAACCACAATCCCGAGCTCAAAAGTCACATGCTTCACCAGCTGAGCCAGCCAGGTGCCCCTAAGCCACATTTTTAAAAGAAATGTTGTTTTTCAGCATCCTTTTGGATCTAGATTTATTAGGGAAACTGTTCTATGCGTCCAGAGTATCAGCAGAGAAAATATAACATGGTTCATTGAAGCATGGGTCACACCAGAGCAGCCTTCAAGCGGGAACATTCTCTTCTCATCAGTTATTAATTATAATTAATAGTTAAAAATTAATTATAATTTTGAAATGATCATATGCTCATGTCTTCATTTTACTTTTATTTCATTACTATTGATGATATTACTATTATCATTACTATTTTAAGTAAGCTCTGTGCCCCACGTGGCGTTTGAACTCATGACCCCAAGATCAACACTCACATGCTCTACTGAGTGCACCCCCAGGTGCTCTTCATATCTTCATTTTATTTTATTTATTTTATTTTTTAAAAGGTTATATTTATTTACTGGTCAGAGAGAGCAAGAGCACAGGCAGGGGGAGTGGCAGACAGAGGGAGAAGCAGGCTCCCTGCCGAGCAGGGACTCGGGACTCAATCCCGAGACTCTGGGATCCTGACCTGAGCCCAAGGCAGATGCTTAACGGACTGAGCTACCCAAGTGTCCAATATCTTCATTTTAAATTGCAACAATTGATATTCTGTTGGGTGTTATATATTCCGTCAGAAAACTTGAAGGGGCAATAGAGGTCATTTCATCCAATTCCCTCAAACTCCCAGATGACGCCCGGACTTGCTCACTGATTTGTCTGGATTCAAGCCATCCCAGAGCAATGTCTTTTTTTTTTTTTTTTTTAAGATTTTTATTTTTATTTGACAGACAGAGATCACAAGCAGGCAGAGAGGCAGGCAGAGGGAGAGGGAGAAGCAGGCTCCCCGCTGAGCAGAGAGCCCAATGCGGGGCTCAATCCCAGGACCCTGAGATCATGACCTGAGCCGAAGGCAGAAGCTTAACGCACTGAGCCACCAAAAAAGGTGCCCCTTTTTTACTGAAGTCCATTGCCTCACGTCATCTAGTAACACCTGTTAGAGATGAAATCACATCCACTTTGTATGTAAAAGATACCATGATCAAAATTGTAAACTTAGGATGGCACATTTTTTCTAGGCAAATCTGTAGATTCAGGGAGAATAAAAGAAAATGTGAAATAATGAAAGTAGCTACTAGGAAAGAGGAATAGAAACATGGGATAAACAGGGAAGTGAGTACTGAGTTGTGGTCAAGTGAGGACCCCCCGCGGTGGACCATTAGTCAGCTTCTCCTGGCTGTTTCCCTAAACTGTTACCACCCAAGTCAGGGGTGGGATCCATGGGAGTGAGTTTCATTTTTTTCAGGGTTACCTCCTGGTTTTTGTGTAAATTTAAGTGTGTTGAATGTAAAGATTGTCTGGATTCTTGACCTGGAGGTGAGATTAGAAAGAGAGATGTGAGTGATTTTGTCTCATCTGAGTGTGGTCAGTGCAAATCTCCTGGGCAGGCAGGTCCTCCTAATTAAATGTCTTCGCATGAACAGCCCCTAAATTCCTTTCCTTTTCATTAGCTCTTTGTAGGAGCAACCACACAGCCCTGACAACATAACTTTGGCACTTGAGTTTTTTTTTTTTTTTTTTTAAGATTTATTTATTTATCTTAGAGAGCATGAGTGGGAGGGGCAGAAGGAGAGAGAGAATCCCAAGTAGACTCTCTTCTGAGCACAGAGCTCGATCCCACAACCCCGAGATCATGACCTGAGCCAAAACTGAGTCAGACGCTTTACCACGGTGCCCCTTAGGCACCCGGTACTTGGATTGTTAATTTGAATATTTGGACATAGTCCGCATGCTTTTCTTGGATCATCCTGAAGATGATTGGGAGGGAACAGTGGCCCGGAGGGAAACTCGCCCTCAGCTCAGTGCTGCAGATGAAATCAGCTGCAGGTGTACACCTGGTCTGTACTCTCCAATTAAAGTCAGGTCGTAACAGCCAGGTTAGCACCAACTCCTGCCCCTTTCTGTTCTCACGTGCTCTACCTTTGGGGTAAAAGATTAAAAACGATGCAAATCTTTCACAACCAGAGCTTTATCTCCCATGCAGAAAAGATGGAAGGAACCAGGGGCACCTGGCTGGCCCAGCTGGGAGAGTTGGCAACCCTTGGCCTTGGGGTCGTGAGTTCCAACCCCACATTGTGTGTAGAGATGACTTTATTTTTTTATTTTTTATTTATTTTTTTTAAGATTTTATTTATTTATTTGACAGAGATCACAAGTAGACAGAGAGGCAGGCAGAGAGAGAGAGAGAGAGGGAAGCAGGCTCCCTGCTGAGCAGAGAGCCCGATGCGGGACTTGATCCCAGGACCCTGAGATCATGACCCGAGCCGAAGGCAGTGGCTTAACCCACTGAGCCACCCAGGCGCCCCTAGAGATGACTTTAAAAAAAAAAAAAAAAAGGGGGAAGGAAATAAACAGATTTCAGCTGCAGACATTTTGCGATTTTTTTTTTTTAAACTTACGCACAAAGCACTGACTTCATCTCTCATTCCCGACTTCTCAATCATCTTTCTATAGAAGGTGATATGTCTGCATTTTTGTTTTAGGAACCTCGCAAAGAAATACCAACCTAAAAAGAACTCGAAGGAGGAAGAAGAATACAGGTCTGTTCAACGCTGATAATTATGTGCTGATAATCTTTACGCCGGCCGTGATGCTGATGAAGGAAAGGAGAAAGGAAACGTACAAAAATAAGCTGCATTCCCCACCCGTGTTTGTGCTAGTTTTTAAATTGGCAGCGAGAATGGTAAAAACCCGGCTCAGCTAATTTATGCTGAGTCACTAGACCTATTCCAGATTGTTTCAATTAAGGTAATTGGGAAAAGCTCAGAATGTAATCTAAGCAAATACAGGAAGCAAGGATTGTGCATTCCACGGTCTTGATTGGCTCTTGTAATGTCAGGCGTCTCTTTCTTTGAGAAATCTGTCCATTTCAGTAAGCAACTTAGGCACCTTAGCGTGGACAGCGCAGAAGTGTTAAATCTCTAATTTAGATCTAATTTAGATCTAAACACCCATTGAATGAATGCATAGCTGGCATGTCCGGTATCTGGGGTCATATTTGAACCAGGATTAACGAGGCCAAATACTGCCTTACATAGAGCGGTTCAGCATCACAGAATGTAGAGTGCCTCAGTGGTAATTAATTCTGAGCCATTTCGACGAGAACGCTCTTATGAGTAATGAACTTTCGGGATCCTGTGGGACGTTGACGCACATTAACCTGATTTTAATTAATATTTCGTCAGCGCGTACAGTGTTAGAACGGACGGGGCCCCTGTTTGAAAGAGTGGCGTGTGCTCATTTCCGTAGGTATACGGCTTGTAAAGCCTTCCTTTCCACCCTGAACGAAATGAATGATTACGCTGGGCAGCATGAAGTTATCTCCGAGAACATGACCTCGAACATCACTGTGGAGTTAGCCCGCTACGTCCAGGATCTGAAGCAAGAGAGGAAATCGGTAACAGGAGTTTGTTTTTTCTTCCTAAGAGGTGGACCAGGGGTAACGGGAATATCCCTAGAAACTTTCAAATTAAACACAGTCATATAACGTGGTGGGTCTTGAACTGAATCATGGAAAAGTTATGGACCCTGTTCCTAGAAGGTGTTTCCAGGTCTTTGCAAGCGTCCCTCAGACACTGAAACTTATCTGAGGACACCCCCCCCAACCCCCAGATAAAATCCCTAAGAGGAGTTTAAATATTTTTGAGGATCTCACACATAGAAAGAGTAAGCGATATCAGGTAGTACCTGGGGCGTGGAATAAGTAGTATTAACATAAATGCTTATAATGTGTTCACAAAAGCCAGAAAAGTGATCTCAGCACCATTGACTGTTCTTTGGGTCCTTCGTCATCTAACGAAGAGGGCCTTTTTGGTCCTCCTGCCTTGATGGTCATCTTTTCATAGCTCTTACTGTTAACAAAGGAGAAAAATGTGCGCTCACATAAAGTATATTCATAGTCAAGGTTTTGTCCTAAAAGATTTAATTGTAAGCTGCGGTTGGTGTCCTTGTTCTCTGATGGCTTACGCAGGGCATCAAAATTTGTTAGGAATACAGTACTAAAGCTGGCCCGTGATAATACTTTTTTCATTTAAATCCAAGTCCACCATAATTCTTCTGGTGCCTTGGACATGCAGGAACAAACAGGGAAGGTGGGATTCCTACTGAACAAATGGAAGAGATGTTAAATAATAATGACCAAAATAATTACTTAATTGCAATTGTGATTGTTGCTGCCAAGTACGAGTGCAGGCGCCACAGGAGGGGATCGGGGAGAAGCTTCCCAGGGCCCTAAACAGCCAATGTTTTAATAAGACTCGAAGGATGAGGTAGAGTTGCCTGGGACAAGCAACGGAGGTAGCAGCCAGTGCAAAGGCCCTGGGACAGGAAAGTTTTTAGAACATCTGAGGAGTTTACTTCTTTCTAAGTAAGCTATGTAAGTAGCACATGGCTTTGGGTGAGTTTAGTAGTCAGGAACAGATATATGCCTTAAGATCAACCATTGGTTTGAAAAACAAAACAAAAACCACAGGTTCATAAACTGAGGTGGCATGTTTATCTGTTCACATTAGAGCAGTGGATCTCAACTGGGCACAATTTTTCTGCCTACCCCGGCAACACTTACCAGTATCTGGAGATAGTTTTGGTCGTCCAGGGGGTTGCCATTGGCATCTGGTGGGTAGAACCCAGAGGTGCTCGTAAATATCCTACAATACCCAGGCGGCCTCTCCAACAAAGAATTACCTGCCCCATAATGTCCATAGTGCCCAGATTGAGAAACCCTGCACTAGAGCCCCAAATTAGATGATAGCATCTTCCAGACCGTTCATTAAAGATCTTTTCTATGATGGAAAGGAAGCAGTGCACAGAATACTGAAGTCCAGAATGAAGCACAAATGTCTAATATAATCATAAACTAAATACAGTAAATCTGAACTTGATGTTGGACTGCTTCCCGGGTTCTTGAACTTCCCTCAACCTTGCAAAGTTTATACCTTCTTCCTGTTTGTTTCTTTGCTCAGTGCTTTGTGTTTCTTGACTGACCTTCAGCCACCCATATAGCTTAGAAATTTAGCGAACACCCTAAACCAGAACTCTCTGCCTTTACTTTAGAACGGAATATAAATTCTGTTTCTGAAGTGAATCATGAGATATGAGCCCACATAAACTGGTTTCCTGTTAACTTTTTTGAATGCCTCTCCTCCAGCCACATGGCCCCCTTGCTGTTGCTCAACCTCAGCCTGTGTCACCCTGCCCCAGGGCCCTTGCACTGGCTCTGTTCTCCTTGGAAAGCTTTCCCCCAGATATCTACAGAGCTCACTTACTGACTTCTTCTCAGGAATAGCGTCTTCTTGAGGTCTGTCTTGTCCACCTTATTTAAAATTACAAAGTCTCTCCTCTCCTTCCCTGCCTCATTCCCACCACCTTCCCTGCTTTACTGTTTTCCCATAGTGCTTACCAACATCTAACATTTTATATATTTGTTTTCTTTCATCTCACACTAGAATGTAAGCTCTGCGAGGGCAAGAATTTTCTTGGCTCCTGTCGTATCCCAAGTACCTGGAAGAGTGCCAGGGTGGAAGTAAGCATTAGGAAGTAGAGAGGAGCCATCTTAGACTCAACTTTGTTCACTTTGTTCTTGGACTTTGTGTCATTAGTGGAGTATCCTTGTATTTCCTTTTCGTGTTATGATTGGGTCCTTTTGTTTTATTCACTCACTGCTAATCATGTCTTTTGTACAGTCCGTCATATCTGTAGCTTGAATTCTGTTCCTTTTTTAATCAGAAATTATAGTAATTTATAGAGTAAATTATAGGTGATACAGAGACACATTAAATAAGATCTGCAATTCGTAGTGCTCCTTTTATTTTAGGGAGAATTACAAGTACACATCTGAGTCAGATGTTCCACTGGGAAGAACGACAACCACCGGGCTCTCTTGAAGCATTTTGTAATTACATGAAATGACATTTTAGGAAATTGGGAACCCTTTTAAAGCTCTAGAAAGAAAGAATAGCCGTACGTAAATGCATATTTGTGGTGTTTTAATATAATGCATCATGAGCCTTTGTGCTTTTTTCCTACATATTTATCATTATTTTGAATGACCGCATAATGGGCCATTAGGTTGTATATTGATACGCGGTGACTTTAGAAATTATTCTGGTTATATTGTCTGTTTAATTGTTTGGCCTCGAGTCTTCATTTTTGTGGATTATAATAACTGATAGCTATTAGGCACATTTCGTCTTCACAGCACCCCTTCGGGAGGGGGGACAGTTACACATTTTATCTCAGACCAGGAGGCTGGAGGCAGCAAGGCGGGGGTCAGGCCCTTCCCCAGGGGTGGCTCTGGGTGGCTCTCGGGGCCACGCGTATTCGCATGCGTGTTTTTGTTTCCACTGAGTGACGTTCTTTAACTTACATCCAAGGATGCCGGGTTAGACAGTGTCCGCTTCCTCACGGGCAGTCAGCTCTAGATAAGGTGCTCCTTGAGGTCGAACCATAAAGACTAATATTTCTCCTTTAGAGCTTTCCCTTTGGGCTCCTCTGACTCTTATTAATGAGTGATCTTACTTATTCTTGAAAAGATGACTCGTGGGGCGCCTGGGTGGCTCAGTCGGTTAAGCAGCTGCCTTCAGCCCAGGTCATGATCCTGGAGACCTGGGATTGAGTCCCGAGTCAGGCTCCCTGCTCTGTGGGGGGGGGCCTGCTTCTCCCTCTCTCCCTCACCACCCCCCCATGCTCTCTCTCTCTTAAATAAATACATTAATTAAATCTTTTTAAGAAAGAAAAAAGAGAAGATGACTCTTGGGACGCCTAGTGGCTTGGTCCGTGAAGCATCTGCCTTTGGCTTGGGTTATGATCTCAGGGTCCTGGGATCGAGCCCCACATTGAGCTCTCTGCTCAGCAAGGAGTCTCCCTCTCCCTCTGTGCTCTCTCTCTCTCTCAAATAAATCAATAAAAATCTTAAAAAAAAGATGACTCTTAAAAACACAGTAGAATGGCATCTTCTCCACTTTGTGGTGACATTTGTGACCAGCAGGAGTGGCACAACAGAGCTGGAACTCAGATCAAGGTCTTCCAGTGTCCCAGCCAGTGGCCTTTTTGCCATGCTGCTATGAAGGGCTGACCACGTGCTGCACATCTTCCCTAGGAGAGGGAGAGCCCAAACCAGCTGTGTGTCCACAGCTCCCTGGGAGGCTGTCGGGCTAAGAGAGGAAAGGATGTTCTGGTCAACAAATGGGCTCGGGATTCGAGCAGCCCCACCAGCTGTGACACATCAGACCACGTCACGAGGGCTCTCTGAGCCCCCCTACTGGGTCTAGTGAGCTGCTCGCTGAGAAAGGCGTCTGATGCAGGATTCGATCCCAGGACCCTGCCACCATGACCTGAGCTGATGGCAGACACTTAGCCGACTGAGCCACCCAGGTGTCTCCCCTTGAGTGTTCTGATCAGGGTTTATTACAGAAAGGAAGGTATACAGGCTTCCCTGCGACCGAATGTCATAACAGTATGGCCAGTGCATTTAAAAAGAACTTTCTAAAAATGTTGAATTGGTGGACAGCATTGAAATGAGAGGCTTTCACCATTTCAGGTCTAGCTACTAATTCTCAGAGCTGACCAGAAATCATGTCTTGCTTAAGTACCAGTCTTAACCATTAGTATAATGCGTTTTGGGCCATTTGGTACAGCGGCGAAATCCTGTCTGCCCAAAGGGATGATTTCAAATTTATAGGATTACTGCTGGATCTCATTACTGCATATAGAGTTATTTCCAAGTTCAGTTTGGAATACTACTGGAAAATTATTTCTCCTCTAGATTTTGCTGTGTTTGAATAGATGAATCTCTAACAAGGGTCTTTGTGGTGACAGAGCTCATTCTGTAAAGAATGTTTCCTTCCCTCTGGATTTGAAAGGAAGGTAGTAAGAGGAAAGTAGAGGGAGAGATGGACATTCTTCTCATCCTGGGGGCCACTTCATGATAATGAGCCAGCTGTGTGTCCTTGAAGTCTTAAAAATCTCCCATTATAAAACAGAACAACACCTGCTGTTCACGTTCTTTGGAGAAAAGGTGGGTTTTAGGCAGCGATGTCCACACCTCCCTTGTTCCCATAAGACGGGCAACTCTCCCACATAGTATCTTAAGGAAACAGTTTGTTCTGAGACACAAATTTATAGGCTCGTTGTTAGGAAAATGCATTGATTTTTCAAAAATAACTTCTTTTTTTTTTTTTAGTTTATTTGAGAGAGAGAGATCACAAGTAGGTAGAGAGTCAGGCAGAGAGAGGGGGAAACAGGCTCCCTGCCAAGCAGAGAGCCTGATGTGGGGCTCGATCCCAGGACCCTGAGATCATGACCCAAGCTGAAGGCAGAGGCTTAACCCTCTGAGCCACCCAGGCACCTCAGAAATTATATTTTAGCGAGATACTCACCTTCTCTTTAGAGACAATAGGA